CCTCCCGTCCCCTCCCTCCCGTCCCTCCCGTTCCCTCCCTCCCTTCCCTCCCTCCCTCCCTCCCTCCCTCGACTCCCGCTCCAGGATGTGCTTCACTTCCTCTCGGGTCAGGTAAGAACCGGCACGGCGGTCAAATAATGGCCGCGTTTGTGTCTCCCACTGGCTGAGGTAGAATCGTGTACCGTAGAAACGTAAAGAAGGAGTCTTCGGAGAATTTAATCAATTTTGATGAGTACGCGCAAGACCATAATACTACTTCTGTCACACATGATCTGGTTGCCTTACGTGGCATTTAGTCATGTAGTACAGAGGACAAACCATCTTCATGTGGGAATATTGTTGGGTCACCAGTTCTTTGTTTTTGCCGGCGTTTGTATCATTTATGAAGCCTTTTCCTCTGACTTAAACCCGTGTTTCCGTGAGCTTTGCTCTTTTACAAATCGTCAGTCTGATGTAACGCCTTTGTAATATTGTAAGATTGACTTCAGATCTCCCAAATCTCCAGCATTTTCTCCCAATTCTCGTATCCGACCACGTTGGGCCCAAGAAAAGAGACACCTTCGTACGATCGTGCTTAGTGTCAATTCCATCCTTCGTGTTCCTCGTTATTTGAATTTCATTTGCTCATACCGCCAGTATTGTATATCGACGTCCTTCGTCTTCTTCCAATACACTGCCAAATCATCAATGACTTCAGTTTCGGGGCTTATGTTGTGCAAACGAAAGAAGTACTCGCAAGCTGTCTTGGCTGGAAACTTAAACCAGTCATCAAGAATGACATAGCCCCCCACACTGAGCTTGTCGTACAGATGATAGAGCACGTCAACGGTAGACTGGTACATATCTCCATCTAGGCGCATGACAGGAAGTCTCTTGATCCGAGGCGCCAACGGAGGCATCGTCTCATTGAAGAAGCCCTTGGCAAAAACCACTTTTGAGTCCAGTATCCCAGATTCTCGAAAGTTCTTGGCAACTTCTTCGGTGTTCGCCTCAAGATAGGGCCTCATATTCCATCTCTTATCATTGTGATCCAGTTTCTTTTTTCCAGGTGGCAGGCCCTGAAACGAGTCGCAGACATATGACATTCGGCCGCCCTCATTAAGACTCCGCAGCACAGCACGCGCAAAGATGGATGATCCTCCCCGCCAGACCCCGGTCTCTATGTAGTCCCCTGGGATGTTTCTAGACACTACATCCTCTAGCAAGAGCCTGACATTGTCAAGACGGGCTCCGCCGATGACACCGAAGCCAGGGAATATGTACACAAGTGCTATATGAAATAGTGTCATGCCCGTATGGCTATTTTGTCTTGAGATATCATGGATTTTCGGTACGATAAGTACATCCCAGCAAAAGATCGATTCATAGTGGGATACAGATTTAAAAGGAGGAAACCTGACAGCATGTATGTGACAGAACCCAGAAAAACGCGCAATTTCTTACAAGCTGCAACTATGAAAGAATTTTGTTTTGCATGTAAGGCATCCAAAGACATGAATGTTGAAACACTTGGGAGGTCGATTTCTTGTGAAAGTTGTGTTTCCGGGGTTTGCCTCGGAGGAAAGAGTAACGGATATTTGAAAATGATGGGGGACTGGAAATATGCTTGCCTTGTCATGACATACTGTCATGAAACATTGATGATCCGGCTCTTGAATGAGTTTGAGACACTAGTTGCGGTCGAAATTCAAAAGGGATCAATAATGGAGTTTACAAGAGGCCATGAAGTTACGTACGGGTAGTCTTGCCGTGGCTGCAATCTGCAGTCATCCCATTCGGAAATCATGCCCTTGGCGCACACTACATGTTGATGATGGTGCAACCCGTGAAATCTTCTTCTCATTAGACTTCTTTGACATAATTGGGTTACTTGTGCCTGTCTTTAAATGAATCTCCTCTCTTAAACACTAACCCCAACCCCAACCCTAATTCTAAAGATGTCACGACAGCAACAATGTATGTGCCACCACAAATTGCTCACCTTGGAATCCGAAATGTACCAAAATAAATGCACCTCTTCAATCTTGCTAGCTCCCCTTTTATTTTTTCCTAGTCGTTTGTGGCATTGGAAGATCATGGCCGACTGGTCTGTCTCTGTTGTGGCGGAGTTGCCTAGGGCCATTTTTTCCTTTGTCGTCTGCCATTTTGGAGCCTAAACATCATCTTAAGGCGCTCACACTTGTGCCGGGTAGGCTTCTTTTTCGCCTGTTACCTGTTTGAGTGAGCCAGGGGAGGAACGTGGGAGGAAAGGAAAGGAAAAGGCAGGAGACAGATTTGCAGTGCGGCACTGCCCAGCCTGGGATACCCTGAGATCCTCTTCCTTTCCCACGCCCCCTCCCTTGCACAGCCACCTCTGATTTTTCCTCCTCCTCATACATGCGGTACTTGTATCATTGTCTTTCCTCTCGTTCGTCGTGTCCGGCACCCGGGAAAAATTGAGAGCGGGGGGGACGGCCAGGGTGTGGAGGAAGGCGGAAGACGGAGGGAGGAAGAAGGAGAGATGGGAAACGGGAGGAGGAAAGAGAGCTATAGAGAAGAAAGAAAGAGAGAAAGGAAGAGCCTACCGTTTTATCATTCTCAGTCTGTATTGTCAGCAGGCGAAGGAAAGAGGCAGGAAGGGTGGAGGGGCAGCTTTACCATTCTCAGTCTGTTACGTCAGCAGGCGGAGGAAAAGAGGCAGGAAGGGTGGAAAGGCAGGGGGGGAGGCACGTAGGGCTTGTGACGGGGTGGCAGCTCCCCCTTGGCTCCTCTTCCATTCCTCCTCGCGGGTCTTGTGTATTTACCAATCTTTTTCTTTTTCCCTTGTTCCTTTTCTTCTTTTCGTCCTCCCTTCCTTTCCTGGGCAGGAGGTACGGGGTTGCCGCTTTCGGTGCGGCGCGAGGGCGAGATATAATTGTGGTACGGCAATCGAAAAGACCGGGAAATATCACTCTATTTTCGACAACGTGTATCTTCTTAAGGAAAATGTTGCATGCATCCAATTCTGCCTAGTGAACATGTACTGAAACTCCCACCGCGAAAGCCCAAAGCACGCGCGAAATCCTTTCTTCTCAGGGCGGAAAGCAATTTGACATTTGCTGCTTGCCCATTCAATGCAAAACAATTCTACAACCATGCATTACTGCGAAAGCTTAATGCTTAAGGTAGCCGTATTATTTTTCATAAGATCAATCGAATGTTTGAGCGAGACCTTGACCCGCGTACGACACATCATTTATGAAGGAATGTTCAATTTCAAAAAACCGTTGGTCGGGTGGCGGTTGTAACGGAAGAAAGGAATGGAAAACCCTCTTTTTGTCCCAAGAAGAATCCCTATGATTGGTATCGGCGCAGAGATTGATTGATATGTCCATCGAAGGATCAAATGCGAGCGATAAGATTAAGGCCTGTGGGGATTGTTTGGAAAATTGTCAAATTCTTCAGATTGAGCTGAGATCAAAGCGAAGAGGAGTCAGGAAAGTGTCGCTTCCTTATCCCCGTGCCTATTTATGCATTCACCCGTTTGACAAATGACCACACGTGTGATGAATCTGATGTAAGATGAATGAACGTCAATCCAATGAGCTAAGTCCTCGTCATGCTGGCTCGGTAAGCCGCGTTATATATATGATGTATGAGGTAGCAGCAGTGCTGTCAGAGGCCCTCAATGTCACGACTGGTAGAATCTCGGAGACGTTCATGGTCCGTAAATTAGGCTCGTTTAAAATCCATAGATATGCGAAGGATACCAATGGAAGCTTTTCAGACCAGAAAACTTTGAAAGCAGCGAGGAGGTGTGTGAAGATAAGGCTGGCCGGCTCGTGGAAACGAAAGTCATAAACGGTTCTGTCGCTTGTCGCATATCTGACTCTCGCGTCGTCTGATGTCGTCCTATCGGGACATGCAAACCCATATCATCAGGAAAGGAGGCCAAAGGAAGCGGGCAATGCATGGAAGGACCGGCGACACAGAGGGTACCATCCAGGGCAATCCCGCGGAAGTCCCTGGTAGGCACGTATACCCCGCACCGCCCTGTCGCCCCTCTCTTCTTCCTCGTTGATTATTCCCCGCCTTTATCCCTCAAGTCTTGCATTCTACTGCATATTTTCCCTCCCTGTCGGCGCCGTCTTCGTGCTTCCTGTTCTGACCTCTGTGTAGCGCTCTCCTAGTTCTTTGAAAATCCCTCCTTTCGCATGCCCTTCCCCTTGTCCTCATGTCGTAACGCCCCGTGCCCCCCCCCTTACCCTCCCCTTCCATCGTCCTGGCTGATCTTTTTCCATGTCCTCGTCGTCCCCCTGCATATCTGTTTTGTTCCTGGTCTTGACGTCCGTTTCCATCCCTCC